CACACACACACACACACACACACACACACACACACACACACACACAGGAAGTCAGGGGCTACCACTCCCCCTCGCTCAGACTCACCGGAGCCGAGCAGAGAGCTGCTACGAGCTGCAGAGAAACTCCCGGCAGTAGAGGAGGAGGAGGAGGAGGAGGAGGTGGGAGGAAGTGTGGAGGGGAAGGAGGGGCTGGTGTAGAGCGAGGAGCTCAGCGATGGAGGTGTGGGTGCCGTGGTGGTGGTGTGGTGATGATGGTAGCGATGATGCTCCTCCTCCCTCCTCTCTCGGTTCTTGCTCCCCCGCGGGCGTCCCGGGCCGTGGCGGCTCTTCTTGTTGCCGTGGTGCCTCCTCTCGCGGGGCAGCAGGGGGGGCGTGGCCTTGTCCTTGGGGCCGGCCTCCTCCAAGGCGGGCGGAGCGCTCGGTGGTGGCTTCAGGGATTTGGAGGGCTTGTAGTCGGCCGGCGAGGAGATCTTGCGGACCTTGCTGCTGCTGCCGAGCCCCGAGGAGGTGGTGATGCGCATGATGGAGCCGAAGGTGGAGATGGTCACCTTGTTCTCGAAGGGGCTGGCGCTCCCCTCGGCCCGCTCCTGACCTTGAGGCCCGGCGAGCGGGCAATCGGCAGGGGTCAATGCCGGCGGCTTGTGGTATTTACCGTCCTCTTCCTCCTCATCCTTCTCCTCTTCTTTTTCCTCCTCCTCCTCCTCCTCCTCCTCCTCGGGCACCACTGACCTCCTGTGGCGCTCCTTGCGTTTGTCGGCACCATGCTCGTCCCCGCCGCTCCGGTCATGCTCTCGCTCCAGGCGGGAGGAGGAGGAGAACTGATGGAAGTCCTGCGAGGCGGACAGGGAGCCTCCTGCAGGAGAAACAGGGCGTCAGGCTCAGACTCACACTGATCTGGAGGAGACGCTTCAGCAGGTACCTGTGTTGAACGGGCTGGAGGAGCAGGAAGAGGAGGAGCAACTCTTCCCCGTGCTTCCTGTCTTCTTGCTGCGATGGCCGTGAGCGTGAGAGCTCAGCTTCTTGGACTTGCCCTCACCGTCCTTGGTGCCGTGGTGACCGCAGGAGATCTGCAACGAAACGAACCGTCAGCAGCGCCTCGGCCCGGTCCAAGAGCTCAGGTTTGAGTTTCAGACCTTCTCCACGCCRCTCGGCGTCACAGAGGAGCTCAGGAGCTCCGTGGCCTTCTTGTGTCGCTCCTTCTGTCGGTTCTTGTCTTTATGACTCTGAAAACAGACGGAGGCAGAGTTTCAGCTGAACCAAGGAGGTCCTACAGAACAGATGGAGCTCAGAAACCAGGTGACCGTGTGATCGGCTGGTGAAGCTAACGGCTAACGCTAAACAGTCAAGAGTCTGGAAGGACTGATGATGTAGAAATCATTAAAACTATTAATAATAATATTAATCC